TGGAATTTCGCTTAGCCGCGGGGCGTCTGCCGTTGCACTCTGCAAAAGTTATTGACTTTGGCGCTGCAATGCGCCTCGACTGTCAAATGCTGGCATGTGGTCAACATTTAAGTGTAATTAATGCCCGCGGCCCGGTCGGAAGTTGCATCGCCAACGACGCATTTCCGCCGCATCCAAATTATCCACCCAATTCTGGATAGTAGCGCCGTAGCCGCGCGTGCTCTCCCTCCTTCTGCCTTTTGCTCTCGCTGTCTATTTGAAAATATGAAAAGCAAATATTGAGCTTAATTTAATTACAGAACGAAATGCACATTTTGCTAGCCGTAGGCGTTATATATATAGATATATATATATATATATATATATAAATATATATAGCGGATCAGCCACGTGAACTACTGCAGTGGAAAAGGTTTGAGCTTTAGAACCAAACTAAAATTCAGTGAATTCTAACTCATAAAAATACGTTTTTATCGATAAGTATATAAAAATAAATGTTGAAAGCAAATGATAAACTTGAACTGCATAGCATAGAAATATTTATTTCAATTTGTAAGTCTGCAACTTTTTGCCCAGCTCAATGCGTTTCTGCACAAGTCTGGATCACTTCAATTTAATTCCCGTAGGGGCAGGTTAGCATATGCTACGGCGTGCCAAGCTGAGGCTACCTTTGCCGTTAGCAATTTGAGTTCACACTATCGGAGTGCAGAAGAGGCGCAGCATCTAGGGGGCCAGCCTTTATGAGAGGCCCAGGAGCACTCTCAACGAGTGCCGCTGAAATTAGAGGAATCGCTTTTCCCTACCCACTTTGCTTCGATAAGCATGGTCGCTGAGCATATCCAGTTGTAACCTTAGTCACCTCATTCGACAAGCAGCTACCTGTTGAGCTGGAATTTGAACAGTTTATCGGGATTATCGGGATTATGCAGTCGGACAGTGGCTGAGCTCAGCTTATAAACTTCTTAAATGATAAACTTGATAAACTAATTGGATCCGTTCTATGCATCTATTGCATAGATGGAAAGCAAAATGAGGTTTATAGCTGAGGTGAGTTAATTCAATATTGAAATGAAAATTAAATGAAAATTAAATCTTAAATCTTTTTCTGTGGCTAAGGCTTCTGGCAAACATGTTAGGTTGGAAGAACAGTAAAGATTTTCAGATAAGACTCGTAAGCCGGAGCAGAATTCATGTTTATTGGCACCAAATCGCATTCAGTTAAGTTTTACTACTAACGAGACTAAAGTAAAACTAATTGAACTTGAAGCTGTTGAACACTACAAACTTAAAAGGCAATTCACATCAAACACACACACAGCAACACCATCGCCCACCCATCGCCGCCCACTTACACGTTTAGCCCTTAAAAACTTGCGTTTGGGTCTATTGAAAAGTGGTTTTTAGGTAATTAATAGTTCTGCCCCACAGAACTTTTACACTTTGAACTGTCAGAAACTATATGCAAATTTCTATCAAGAGTTTTCTTAACATGCCTTACCTCTTCTTCATCTTCTTCTTCTGCTGCTTCCATATATATGAAGAAAATTGGCTAACGCGTTGTAAATTGAATTTGTGCCGCATGCCACAAAATTTGCTTTTTCGCCGCCGCATGTGGCATAATTACAGGACTCTGCCTCATTTATAGTTGATGCAAAGTCAATTAAACTCTCGAAATTCCGTTTTACATTCGGAAAGTTTTTGCTGAAATAGTTGAGGCTGCCTTTGTGCGATTGACAAGTCTCAATGTGAAGGAAAATCGAATGGAAACTTGTCAAAAGGCATTTTTTTGCCTCACTTTGCAACCCTTAGCGAAAGTATATTTTTTCATAAAAGCTTGGCAAAACCCAGAGCAGCAGGAGAAAGCAATAGCTATAACATGCATAATGATGACACACTTACCACATAAGCCACACACACACACACACCACACCCACAGCAACCACAACAAACTACGTGCAGAGTAAATGGCAAACCAAAGGGTTGGCCAAAGCTTTTGGCCATAGTCACAAAATGGCCACTAAAATGCACGCTAATGAGTTTCAATTACGACTGAGCCGAAAGAGGCGAATAAAGGCAGGAGGCGTGGCACGGGCCATAGGCACTTGTGAGCGTTTTTTATTGATGGGCGACAACGTGGCAGTCGCTTCTGTTGTCAATTTGCGTAAATTCTCCCAGCGCAACTTTGATTGAAACTAAGCGTTGAGAGGGAGGCCTGAGATGGGGCTGTGGGGTGCGGGTGCTTGATTTTAATTAAATTCCCGTGCCCACAAAATGGGCTGCAGCTGAGCCTCGTGTCAACTGGTGCGGCTCGTCACTTGTCGGTTTTGATTTCGACTTTTTTTTGCCTTTTGTTTTCGTGTCTCTCGTAAAGTTTTATGATTACAAGACCACATGTTGCAAAGCATCTTCTAAATGGTTATGGCGCGCCATACAGTTTAAATAATTAATGTTTAGAGTGTAGTAGTCGAAGTAGACGTAGTAGTGCCGCTGCCCAGCTAACAACAGTTGTAATAAAAGCCACGCTGACCGAACTCCAAATAGAAGCCAAAAGAAAGAAAGTTGCAGACATTGTTGGATCGAGTGCATTTCAATTCCCAAAACGATTATAAACTATGGTCGAGCTGTTGTCGGAGTTGCCAGACCGTTTGCAAATTTAATTTACAACTAACACAAAAGGAAAAACCGCAACAGCAGCAGGTGAAGTGTGCAGTTGGGCTACCATTAGATACCCTGGAAAATATTATATGTAAAACAATCATGGAAATAAGAAAAGGTGTTAGTAAAAGCAGTTGTAGTATGTTTACAGGGTATTTAGTAAGTCGAAATGTGTGATAATGATCTATTAAATATAAAATAAAGTAGTATAATTGAAAGGAGTACAGTAAAAATTCATTCGAGCAACTGTAGAGCAGTTTATTGTGAATACCTTACAGGGTATGTAGCAACTTAAAAAATTAGCTGAAATGTGTAAAAATGATTAAATAAAGTAGACTAAACAAATATAGCAATATAGCCCATCTGAAGTACAGGGTATTTAGCAATACAACAAGCCCACAAGTTATTTTCAATAGTTCAAAAATGGCAATAGTATCTCAATGTATTTACTGCTATTATCAGTAATAAGACGGTCAATATACCCACGATGTGCTACGAACTTTCTAGAGTATTAAGCAATAAAAAAGAAAAAGCTATAAATATTTATTTTTTTTATGTTTACTTTAAACAATATAAAAAAAAATTATATATATAATTTTGCAGCATTTTAAATACACTTTATAGCCAATATGCCCATTACAAACTAGTTATTACAGGGTATTCACAACATAACAAGCTAACAAATTATAGAAATATGTAAAATAAATTGAATTTGTCAGTCTAAACAACAGCTAAAAATACTGCAACAATTGTCAGTCTACCACACAGTTAATATGCCCGCTGTAAGCTGTTTAGTGCAGGGTATTTATTTTATATTCCTAAAACAAAAACAAATATGTCTTCAGAACTGGCTAAAATGGCCAGTTCATTTGGCAGCCAATATACCCAGTCTTAAAATGAAATTTTTATAGGGCATTTAACAACACAACAAGCCAACAAGTGCCACAAAGGCATCCAGTGCAGCACTTTGGCCCAAAGTTTTTACTTTGTTAAAGAGCAACTCGAAATTGTGCTCGAACTTTTGCACTTGGACACCTCAGCAGGGAGCTCAAGACCCTCCAGGCTCCTACGCACTGTAACCTCTGACTCCGCCCCAACCCGTCCCCACAAATTAGCTGCACAGTGTGCACAGCAAATTATGTTTATTATTACTTTGGCACGCAATTTGGGCTATGCTCGGGCCAAGCACATTTCCATTTGGGGCCACTCGCCACTCCTGCCACATTATGCAGCAGGTCAGAGCTGGAAATTTAAATTAATAAGCCCGGGTCCAGAATGCAGCTCGATGAGCCTCGTTAAGCGTCTGCAGACACCGAAGTTGGCTTCAATTTTGGCCAAGTTAGCTAGCTGAGCATCTTTGGCTCGCACTAAATTGCACTTTAATTGCACTTTAGTTGCTGCCAGCCAAAAAGGCTAAAAACTTTGTCGTGGCCGTTGCCGTTGCCGTTGCCGTGTCTCAGGGCAAGTTTTTCGGGCACTCGACAGAGACAATGCGAGACAGGAAATTGGTAATCATCATAAATAAGTGATTAAAATTAATTAAATTCATTTTTTCGCACAAAGTTTTTGACAGAATCGAAGCTGGGAATAATCAAGAGTGTTTTTTTAGCTGGGCATGTCTGACAGCAAGATATTCTGTATGCCGTGCTTTACTTTTTAAAACCCATTGAAAATGGTTTTGTTAAAATGTATTTAAAAGGCAGCAGGAGATGTGGCAGACAATATTAAGTATATAGTATATAGTAATGCTATTATATTTTACTGTTCTTAGATTTATAGTTGGAGTTTTATATATTGTAAAGAGTATGCTCTCAGTCGTGTCATCTCTCTATTCTTCTTTACAAGCTTCTGTCGCTGGCAGAGCGCTTCGGCTTGATCATGCTAAGTCGTAGCTCACAGTTCGAACTTATTTGAAACCATCTAAATTGACTATAGAAAAATGAAAGTTTATTTGATTTACTATTTAATATTGCAAATATTTTTAATTTTGTCGAGTTAATATTGTTGCAGTAGAACTTTTATTCGATTTATATTCTCACAGACGATTTATATTCTCAACTATTTGCACAGCCTCCGTTTGCAGTAGATTCTCGATTAATACTTTATATCGGGTGAGTTAACATAAATACATACATTCAGACACACAGACAGCGTCGCTCTCTCGCAGTTCATATACATTCTATAAGCTCAGTAGGCTTCAAGTGAAAACACGTCTCAAGCTTGTCTCTACAGCTCAACAATTTGGTAACTGTATCTTAAAACAGCTCGTTAAAGCATGTTGAAGATAGCACCTGAGCTGAGTCCCTTTCTATTCAGATCAGCACAAAACTATCTCAATATTTCGGTACACAGATGAACATATATTTTACTCTTGCAATTTATATACAGAAAAGAATACACAATAAATCGGCAACATAAATTGTTAGTTAGGAACAGTGGTCAATATTAGCTGAGCTTTACTGTCGATAGCTCCAATTTGAGTTCCATTGCCTCCACTTGATTGCCGTTATGCTGCAGGCCTCGCAGCCATTTGACATAGTCAGCGGGTATGCCCGACTCCTCGGCACCCTTCACCAGCACTTTGAGGTATGTGTGGGAGGGTTGGCGATTCGGTGGCACCTCAACGTCATTAGCAGCCTGTCCGTGCACAATTGTCTCTGGCTGATTGCTCAGGTGATAGGCGCGACAGATGATTTTCTCATTGCCATGCAGGGAGTGAACTGGCACACTGATGGGTTTGTAGATGCCATTCGAGACGCCCTCCTGGCTGTTGGTTGTTGTTTAACTATAGTTAGTACATGGCAGAGTCAATGCAGCTATCTAACATACTTATCCAAATCGTTCAGATTACACATGTCGATCTCCCAAATGGCGCCGAATACATATGTTCCAGGTGTGGGCACAATTGTCGCAGGTGCTCCAAGCCAGGTATTCGAACCGACGCCTTGGAAATCGAGGCGGTAGTTCTGCAAAGTTGATACTTAAGTATCAATATCTACAATATTGCCTTGCTGACACTCACCTCCAGCTTGCCAGCGCCTATGCGTCGTGCCGTTGGATTCTGTATGTGTATGCGGCGGGCCAACATGTTGCTGCCGAAGCCGAAGTAATAGAACTTATTGGCCATGTTCCAGCTGGGTCGTTGCCACGCAAAGCGCTGGTGTTCAATTTGCGTATCTGTAAAGAGTTTCAAATATGCTAGATTGTGTGTGACATGCTGAAATTTGATCTACACAGAACAAAAACTATCTGAAATATGCTTGAATATTTCATGTGTCAAGAGTTCTGTGCTGCAGTTTTGCAGTCATTGTTAAGCATGTCATTGCACTGCTTGTAGTATATGCAAGCAGTTCTACAGGTTGTTGTCTTGGCTAAAGCGAATATATTTCATTGTTACAGAAATTTGTTAAATTCAATTAAATGAATTATTTATAAAAGCATTAATTTAATTGCATATTGCAAATGAAACGAATTATTTAATAATAGTATCACTATTTTATAAGTATTTAAATCTTAATTTCATTCATAATTAACAACTGGCAGGCGTTTAAAGCTTTCGCCATATCAGAGCTTTTATTTTTATTGTAGTTCAAACAGCTGATTTTATTTATTAGCAAATAATGTTATTACTTACGTGTTCTTTGTTATTACACTTAAAATATATATATATGTATATGTATATATGTATATATTTATATATATTTTATTTATATAACTGTATTCAAGTTAATTTACTTAGAATTTTATTTATTAATCTAATGATTGTCAATTTATCACAAAATCTCTTGTTTACGCGTGGCTGGCACAGCTGACCGCAAGCGACTGACTTTGACAATGAGAAAGCGAAAGCAAGCGCCCAAAGATTTTTACACTACACTACAAACACTGGGTACGCTTCCTACTAATTCGAGTTTATATTTTGTTACTTTATTATAGCGAAACATTTGTTAAGAGCACATACATATTTAAAAATAATATACATGTTTACATTTATTATACCATAAATTATATCTCGAAACTTCCTCTGATAAGAAAGCTTATATTTTAGTTTTTTGTTATGTGAACAGATGCATGTGTTTGCATTTGACAAGCAGCTGCACAGTAGTAAAGCAGTTCAGATTTTAGGAGTTATTGAAACTTGGCTAAGAATCGAGAACAGTTCGCATCGGGAAAGCCATTTGTAATAACGATTTATTACAAAGTGTAATTACAATTCTATTTAAAAATCCGACTTATATTAAAAAACATTATGACTAATTTACACTACATTGCTCATGGCCAATCAAAATTCGAGTACAGCTGAATAACTGTTCACAATTGGTTTAAACATTGACTAAAATATGGGCATGGGGTCACCTCTTTTTAAGCAGTTGTGCAGTTATAAAGCAGTTCAACCTTGTTCATTTTATTTAACATTCCATAAGTCTTCAACTCATTACGCTACATTCTACAATTTCACTGATTCCAACTGAAGAAGCCGTTCGAATTCTTTTACCGTTATGTTATTGTGCTTAATATTTTTCAGCCAGTTGACATACTCTAGCGGAACGCCACTCTCGATGGCACCTTTGACTAACACCTGTAGATACGTCTTGGAAGGCTTTCGGTCCTCAGGCACGATAGAGTCCTGTATGCCATGCACGTTGCCCTCGGGTTGCTGCACCAGGACGTAAGCTCTCGCGGAAATCTCCGTTCCATTGCCATGCAGTTTTACGTGCACTGTGATGGGTCTGTACAGGTTGAGATGAACGCCCTCTTGACTGCGATAAGAATACCTCAAGTATTAATTGTTACATGCCAATTTTCGTTGCGCTGCTCACTCGTCAATGTCCGCCAAGTTGGTCAACTCGATGTCCCACAGCGCGCCCCAAGTAAGTGCGTTCGCTGTCGGCACAATGGTGGCCACAGCTCCATTCCACCTGTTCGATATCGTGGCGAAGTCCAATCGGTAATCGGCCAGCGTTGCGGGTCCCACCAGCTGCGCGGTGGGGTTCTGGATGTGAATGCGCTTAGCTAGCATATTGCTTCCAAAGCCAAAATAGTAGAACTTATCATCATGCACCTCGGGCAGCAGCTTATTCACATTGAGTTGTGCCCCACGAGCTGCCGCAAACAGCAAGATCAACGCAATAACTGTGTTCATTTCAATCGAATTATAAACAATTTTAGTCTTTTGTGAGTCGCTTTTGTTGTGTTGATTGCTGACAACCTGTTCAGAGACCTGCTCAGACTTGACTGTGCTCGCCAAATGTATTCATTAATTTTTTCTTATGACGCTCGGTGAAAAATTTTGCTTTTATTAAAAATAAAAATTGACATTAAAAACCTGAAATCGTATCACTACGACTCTGAAATACTCTTGTGGAATTCTGAACTAGTGTGCGATCTATTGTATATATGCCCACTCACGCGATTTGCTTACTGCGCAGTTTACGCAGCGACTGCGTTTGTTCATATGTGCTCAATATAAAGAGACCTTCACAGTAATTCAAAAGTCTCCAGCTAGTACGGTATTCAAAAAAATATATTATATATTATATATTATATATTATATATTATATATTATATATTATATATTATATATTATATATTATATATTATATATTATATATTATATATTATATATTATATATTATATATTATATATTATATATTATATATTATATATTATATATTATATATTATATATTATATATTATATATTATATTTATATATTATATATTATATAGACGAATATCGGATAGACGAATGACACTTGATGGAATCAGCTCGTCTTCCTGATCCAGAATTTCTATAATTTATAGGGTCTACCACGCCTTCTTCTGTTTGTTACACACATGTGAATACAACTTTCATACCGTGAATTCTCACTGTCAATGAGTGCAGCGAAGGCATTAATGCAAAACATACAAAGCTTCTTTCATAGAAATATTAATAACTATTTAAGTAGAGATTATGTTCTTATTAAAAAAAAAACATTCACATTAATGACACATTCGTAGCTTCGTCTTTAGTATATATACATATATATATTTTTTCGTTTTGATTTATGCATCAAATGACGAGGGGATTTTCTATGGCACAATCAACTTACTGGCATAATCTAAAATATACATATATATGTTAGCTTTAATGTTAAATAATAGTCTTGGGCTGTAATTAATTATTTATTATCATTTCGATGAAAAAAAAATTAAATCAAAATTATAATCGTTAAGTATTTTGGCTTATTTTCACCTGCGATTGCCTGATGACCTATGATAATTTATATGATTTATGAAACTGTTTATCTATGAAATTTGGAAAACATCGAGGCTGATTAGCAGTAACTGTTCAGCTAAACGGGTATCTTTAAATTAGTTCCATAGACATTAAAGGCTCTTTCTTTATGGGGTCATTTGTGTATTTCTTAAGTTTCAATCTACTATTACTGTGCTGTTGTCCGCCAACTATATATGTAGATGCGCACACAGCTGCACTATATCAATGCTATTCTAATTAGTAATTAACTTAAGCTCTGAATATCGTTATGCTGCGAGTGTACGATTGAGCCTGTAAAGCAGAGAGAAGAAACTCCAGTAATGATCGCAGGCTCTTTATAATTTCAATTTATTACACGACTGCCGCATATAATGTTAAAAATTTCATCTCTGCTAATAGCTCACAGTGTCTGCCAGTCATGCACTTCCGACTAGAGCAGTCTTATTAGTTATATATAGCTATTTTACCAAATTTATTATAGATTAGGCATTTGTGACACACAGTTCATAGCGTTGCTGAACTTAACCTAAGCTCTTTACTTTATCAAGTTCCAGTTTCATTGCCAATTTATAGATCAATTTCAAATTAATATTAGATATACTCATAACTTGATATGTCCATTGACATGGCTGGGTAAAGACCTGTGGTTTATGGAGCTCGCAAGCTATCCAAACACGGACAATTATTTTGACAGCTATTAGGGTTCAGCTACTTCTTTGCAGCCAGTGAACAGCAAGTGAAGACCCCTCCTGCTCCTCCTTCCGTCTGCATGTTGGTGGCGTGTGCCATAACCGAGCGACCCTCCAATACAAACAAACCATAAATTGTAACGAGCATGTCAAGTGGTCGACGCATCGACCCAGGCGAGGCGTTAACTAGCGACGGCGATGTCGACATCATTATATAATTGACTTCATGATGTTTAGCCATCTTGCAGTTTATCACTGGATTGTTAGTGATAGTCATAATGATAGCGCCATGCAGCTGACTGCTGGCTGACGCCATAAACGTGGCTAATAGCAATGACGATGATGACGATGTTGTTGTAGTTGTTGCTGCTATTACTGTGGCTAACGGGTCAATCAGTTGGCGGAAAATTGGCAAAACATTCATCCATCAATTGAAATGACAGTCAGCTGCCATTGCAGGGCACGCATGGCGTATGCGTAATTCAATCTAACTCGACTGCACAATATGTGTATTTACATTTGGCAATCATTTATTCGCTGGATGTCCTCCTAATTACAAGCCTACACTGCACTCCATTAGCCGGCATTTGTTGTTTATGCAAAACTGTTTAAATGAAATCTGCTAAGAGCCGAGCATAATTTTCGTAAATTACTCCTCCTTGCATGGGCTGAGCGTGTAAAGCGACGTTGATTGCTAGCACTCACAGTACTCAGCTGTGTTTTATTCATATCTGCCTGCGCACTCATTTCACCTGAGCATAACTTACAGCGAATTTTTCTGAGCACATATTTTCTTAATATTTTCTTCTCTTATTTTTGCTTCCTGTTCAACACAATTTTTGCACGCAAATATTTGTCAGACAGAAGCGCGTCAAGCTGACGAACTTTTCTTGGCAGTTGAATTGCACAAGTTGGCAACACACACAGACTCTTTCACTCTCTCCTTCTCACTTAGCCACACCCCCCCAACATAAATCAAACATCCAAACTTAACCCGGCGCTGCCGAGAACTTTGTTTATATTTGAAATGCTTAAATTGATTACGATATTGTAACAAGAATTTATAATTATACGCTTCCTGCCGATAAGAAGCTTCTTAGCTTAAGCACAAAATATGCTACATGCAGTTAAATATTTTACAATGTTTTTTTAATATATTATAAATTTTTAAAATATTTTACAATAGAAATTCCTTGGAATCGCTATTGTTTTTTTTTTTTTTTTTGAGAAAGTATTGCTAGGCAGAAAAGTTGTTAGACTTAACAATTAAAAAAAAAGAAAAAATTATTTAAAAGAAAAAAGATGAAATAGAGTTTGTTTGAAAATACCTTTAGACATAAAAAAGGTTTCAATATTCAAGTTCTCTTTGATCTTGGGTAATATATCTGTTCAGTAAGTCTTTTGTGTTTTTTTTGTCAAAAATTATGTATTTATACATAATTATAGATTTTGCACTCTTCAATGTAATCCTTGAAAACTTTATTAAAATCTTGCTCAGCTGCTCCATCGTTGCTGACTTTATCAGCTCCATCGTCGTTATTTTCTAAGTCTCTTCAGTTTTTTTATGCTTTGCAGTCTGAGGAGCATGGCAGCTGCGATCTCATTACTGCATTGTTTTTATATAATAATAATAAACATTTGATCAATATACTTTGCGCAAACCTTATAGGCTTCGATCTGCCTGCTGAAAACATTTTGACAATTGTCGAAATTTCTATGGGTTCCAGGCTTAAAAATATATGTTCTATTCTTTCATTAATTTACTTGTAATTTAATAAAACTCCTTTCACGTATAGTAGAGCTTTTGTCAGGGTATTTCGTTGTTGTATTTAAATTTCGTTTTTTTGTATTTCTGAAAACGAGAAATTTAATCCGTTTACTTGGCAAATTTTCTGGTGAATTGTGGATTTTTGGTTTCTGTGGCTCAATCATTTTAATGGCAGTATCGTGTTAGGCCTTGTACAAAATGTATCCAATAGATACACACACACACACACACAGGCTTGCACATACAGAGCCCATGACTAAAAGCTTTGCCTGCGTAGCAAATCTGATTTAAAGATATGAAGTTTTTCGCTTTTATGTGTTTTGCACTTTTACCTGGCTTAAAAATGCTTTGCAAACTGGGTATAAAAATGTGTGCACGAATGCAAATATTTACATTTGGATGCATTATTTTTGTATTTATATTTTTTGCTGAGTAAATTAATTGGTTCATGCTCTGTTAAATATTAAATTTAGCGTTAACTCATTAGAATGTATGAGGGCAAAAAAGTAAATACATTTAAGTATAAATATATGCAAATAGAACTATTAAGTTAATTGCTCTAAAAAACTGATGGAATATTTATAAAAATCAGTTTTTATTGGTATAATTTATGCGTGAATAATATGATCAAACAGGTAGAAGAATGTCTATGCATCGACACTACATCTCGCATATATTCAAAATTTCTGCTCGAGCTCAGCTTGCCAGCAGCCAGCAGCCAGCTAAACTGCAGCTGCTTTCCAAACGAATATCTATTAGGAGCGAAAGTGAAGCGAGTATCTTTTTTATATTTCACACGAAAAGAAGCTCGTAGAAGCGTAAAATCCATTTATCATTTGGCTTCTGTGTGCTGTGAGTTTGTTTTGCCTGTGAGGGTGACAGGCGAAAAGCTAGCAAAGACACCTGATAATATTTACATACTCAAAAACTAGCACTAACAAACGTCGTCAGGTGAGAATGAGATATAAGACAGCGCGACATATTGCGGCTTGATATACGTATATAGCCCAGCTGGAGGCTTTGGCATGAAAACCTCACTGCTTCAGCAGCTATAAAAAGCATATTATGTGCATTAACTGTATCAAGGAGAGATTATATAGTATATAGATTAGAGCAGACATTTGAGAGGAGCAGCAACCCTGCGAGTTTATGACAGCAATATTTGAGCGCAGCTTAAACACCGAACATAATCTCCACTTTCCCAAAACTTTACTCTTTAAACTATGCCTTGAGTGCAAGTCGACACAAACAGCATGACAGCAGCAAGTCTAAAACAGCAGGAGAGAGAGAGAATTCAATTGATTAGCTATAAGACGAAACAGTGGACTTAAAATTCCTGCTGTGATTCGACATGCAAGTAGACTTAGGCACATACACACACACCCACAGCCACACACATAAAGACATATATATTCATCTAATGTTTATGAATATTTAAGGATGTATTTCGTGGATGCTTTGCTGCTCGCTTTGTTTGCA